CTGAGATTGGATCTTGAGCCTATTTATATGGTAACTTTTTCCATACCCTTGAGTATGGGTGGTAAATAAATCCAACTTCTTTTCCAAATAGTTTATGGATGAGAAACACCAGCTTGTGCATGAGTTTTAATTAATTATTCTCAAGTTCTGTTATTTACTTATTTTGCTGTCAAATAAATATCAGTGTTTCTTCATTATACCTACCCCATGTTTCTTTGCATATTCTTTTTATAGGGTCGATCTCTGCCACCAGGCAACTGATGAAGAGGAAGACGATGAAGAACAGAGCTTTTTGGAAGCGTTGTTGGAAAAATCATTTAATAGGCCAAGTTCAACAACTTCTGATAGTCGCAGAACATGTTTTCCTTTCCGTTTAATTCATGTGGGAAGCCGTCAAAAAATAGTGATTTTGGTATGGCAATGGTAGTAGTTTCTTTAGTTCCTTATTATGGTTTTCAATTTGATGCATAATTATTTTGGTATTTACTTTCTTTGATAGTGTACGCTTTTAGTCTGATACATCTTTATGCAAATTAACATTAGCAAAACTGTTAACTTGGAACTTTGCCACCAGGTCACTGTTCTCGTATTTCTTTTAATGGTGACATTTGCTGTGCTAATATGGATTGGAATGGGAAAGAATCCCATTGATTCATCCACAATTGCCCGGGTATGAAAACTTAAATGTTTTTTTTTTTCCCATCATTCTCGTTTTCTTGAAGTGCTTTCCTGTTTTAGTTGCTTTAATCTGATTCTTGTAGACATTTAACCTACTTAAATTATGGTTATCATCCATTCTGTTAGTCAAAAAGGAAAGGGAGCACAACTTTTACAAGGTCGTAATTAACGTTGTCATAGGACTCATATCCCATGCATGATTCCTACCTGCATATGCACAAGCATGAACTAGAAATGCATTAGTTTGGTTGTTCAATTTTATTTTTATGCCGTATAATGTGTGAGAAACTTCTGAGTTTATCAGGGATTTCAATAATCATATCATAGGATGTTTCTTGAGATTGTTTTCAAATTCAAAGAAAATAAGTAGGATGAGTTGTATGGTTCCATCAAATAGCAATCACATGTTTTTAACTTTTGCGAAGCACTATTATGTTCCATAAAATGTGGAACAAGCCTAATTTGAAGACATAATAGAAAATGAAAAACATGTTAGTAACTTTTGTTTTTATTTTTATCTTTTCTTATAAGAAAGCATTAAGCACTTACTGCTCATCTGGTGCAGGTGTACGTAGATTTTTTTGCCATAGCAATACTACTACTAGGGGGAGCTTTAGCATGTTATGGTGAGCAACTACCATTTATGTTGTCTTGTTCTTTTTCTTTTTGCCTAGTTTAGTAATTAAAAATGTGTTGTGCAGTCCGGACTGCATTGGATGGCACAACTTAAACAATTGGATGGGGTGTGGGCCCCCTGATTTTGGGGGCTGTCCCCCCATCCAATGGTTCGTACTTTGTAGTTCAGACTGCAAAACAGTGAACTCTTTAGTAATAGTATTGTTTCTGATGAGAAAAGTTGAGTATTGTGCTATGGACAATGTTCTTATTTTACATCAAATATAATTAAGGTGTTTCAGTTTCACACTTCCTTTTTCTCCTAAAGTTGCACTCTTCATATTTATTTTTCATGTCTAGGACTCCTCTTAAGCTTGAAAATGAGGAAAGTTAGATCTGAACGAGCTTCGTCAGAGATCTGGAAGGTTCGATTCTAATATCCTTTCCTGTTTTATTTCCTTTTATTTGGTATCAAGCTATCCAAAAAGTCTTCCATGTTTTCTTTGGGATCAATAATCTTATTCCTTGTTTCAATTATGTGGATTTTTTGGTTTTTGCAGGTTGCAGGGCTGGCCATTGTTTCTCTTATATGCTTCACTTCAAGTGCTTTTGTAGCTATTTTTACAGACATTCCGGTATTATCTATTTGCCATTTGTTCTATGGTTTGATTTTTCTAAGCAATTGTAAACTTTACAATCTCAATTGGATTTTCATAATTGCAGATGCTTTATCACTGGCCTGAACTGTACATAGATGGAGTTTATGAATCTCTATTGCTGATTTTGTATTATTTTTTAGGTACTTTGTTGTTCAACAAATCCCTTGCATTGCAGGCTTTCAAAATTTTCTCCCTCTGATGCTTTGATTGGTGATTTACCTTTGTCATATTGTTTTGCTAGGTTCTTCAGTACCCTCAGCTTTTTTATTATGGGTCGTGAGAGAATTGCCAGCCATGTCAGTCACTAATAATCGAGAAGAATCAAGGACAATAACTTTCATCAGTGACCACTCACCAGCAGTGCATCATCCTCAGCAATGGACTACTGCAACAAGCTCACAGAATCCGGTATACACCATCTTCTTTTCTTGTCTTTCTATGCATTCAGCTTAATGTTAATGAAGTTTCTAGTTTAATAACCTGTGGTAGACATGATTGAAGTTGCTGATAGAGCTTTCCCAATTTTAATGGCAAAGGCAAAGTTCTTTTCTTTTGATTGTTTTTCATTTTCTTCTAAGATTTTGCTTCCTTAATCAAATCATATACAATGTTAAAATTATCATAGCAAATTGTTGTCTTGATCCATAGGAGATATTCTGGAGGCCTTAAGTGACTCCATCTGGCTTTATAAATGCAGGTATCAAGAGGTAGCCCTGTGTAGTTGCTCTCTAATACATTTTTATGTGCGTCCAAATACACAAAACGAGCCGGCGTTATGGATACTCTGGTCAAAGATGATTATGGAACTTGGATGGATGGGGATGGGCAGCATTTAGAAGTACAGAATAGCTGGTTCGAGAGGGGATAGAGACAGAGAGAGAGCAGTCAATGGTGCAACCATAAGGTTGCCATTGCCATGCTCTTACATTTTTATTTTCACCGGCTCTATGTTTTTGACAATTGGAGTGTAAATAGCAAGAAAATGCTAAACGAGTTTTTCCTTTCAGTTAATGTCTCTACCCTCCACCATTCATTAAGAAACTTGATAGTCATGATTGTTATTCTAGAAAATTTAATTGGAAAAGATATTTCATGCAAGAGCCATCCGAAGTTCCTCTTGCTGATCAGCAGCTAAATAACATAATACACAACACTCTGGTGGCCTTCCGCAATGCGATAATAACAGCAAGTAAACTGCAGTTCGATTCTTGGCCAGAAAGATTGGTTAATGAATAACATTGATTACGATATCGAAAAGTTGATGAACATGATCAGAACAAATAAACTTGTTTAAAAATCGCCAAAAGGAATATAGAATTAGGGATGGGTCACATTTCCTTAGTAGGACTGGGACAGTAAACACATTATCAATTTAGATGAAATGAGCATGCCGTATGCACCTTACAATTGCAATTTCATGCTGACTCAGAAAATCCA